GTAGCAATAGATGCTATTTCTATTCTATTTATGTCTTTTTAAATGTAAGTATGTCATGAATGGTTACGACTTTCATTTTGATGCACAAAATAACCTTTGCTTATGAACCTTTTTTGCTTATGATCAATTGCTTCAGTTTAGGAAAGGTTCTTGAGCGTTACCAGATACATAATGATGAAGAAAATGCTGCTCCCAAGAGTGTTGGTGGTACTGGCAAGGTTAGTCAAACCTTTTGACCCTACACAATCTTCTTTATTTTGCTTATTTATTTATTTATTTATTTTATTGACCGAAACGGCAGTCCTTGCCTCTACTCAAAACCGTCTCCATCCTTCTCTATTGAAACTTTAGGATCTAAGACAGCCCGTAGGCTATAAAAGGGATCAGACCCATCTTTTTCTTTTTTGTCACAAAACTCATACTCTGATCTTTTAACATTTTCCCATTTCTCGATCACCATCTGAGGTAGCCCCAGAGGCTTCCATTAATAAGTATTATTTTCAACATTGTGTTGAAATTGAGATTATAGACTAGATTGGCCAATATCTTAATCTACCAAAGTCATATATCGAGTTCCTTAATAATACATTTTTGTGCAACCACCATTCCTATATGACCTAAGAAGATTCCATGATCCCCAGCTGAACTTATTTGGATAGCAACTGCCGGATTTTCCGATGAAGAATGTACGTTTGATATACATTGTTGGTACGCTTTCTTTGAGCTTAAGCTGTTGATCCACTTTCTATGAGCTTAAGCTGTTGATCCACTTCCCATGAGCTTAAGCTTTTGGGACTGGTGGCATCTACATTGTATCACAAACCACACTACAAGTGGCCCTATACAGAAGTATGATAAGAATACAATGTAATCAGATAACGAAGAGAAATCCCACATGGGATAAGCATAGACACGAGATAGAGTCCTGAGTCCAATAGTCATCTAATACCCTAGTCCCCACTTTGTTAGTTGTAAGGTGAAGAGGGTGCTTGACCTATGTGTTACATATGTCTCTCCAACTACAGGATTGAGCTGCACTTGTGGGAGTTTGTAAGTCACTTGACAATTGTATTTGATCCACAGAGCCTAATGCACCTGCCATAGTTTAAAGGATAAAAAAATGGATATTGAAAACAAAAAAAAAACGAAAAAAAAAAAAGAGAGAGGAGAAAAATGGATATTGGCATTGCAGATGAATGATGATGAAAATGTTATTGAAATGAAATGAAAGTCATACCAATATACTGTATTTGTTAGTACCCCATGTTTTTATTTTCCCTATGTTCTCTGAATAAGATGAGGTTTATCATCTATCACATGGTCTTTTCTCACTCTTTTAATCTCGGGTGCAGAAGAATCCTTCAGAATGGAGTGGCCTCTGCGCAGGCCCTAACCGGTCACTGAAAACGATTCAAAGGTATGGTACATGTGCAGACATTTCATTCCGTTCATCCACATGACTTGGATTTGGTTTTTGAGTATGTGTTTGTGTTTGTGTTTGTGTTTGCAGTGAGTTGGAAGCACAAAACATTGAAAATCTGGATGTGACAGAGCTCACCCAACTTGAGAAGCAATTGGATACACTATTAAGACAAACAAGATCAAGAAAGGTTGCTAATCTTTTTTTTATATTATCAGACCCTCTTTAATTAAACTAGCGTATATTCTGGTTTATGGTGACATCTCATTGAAAAGAATCCTGAAAACCTAGTTTTATGGTTTCACTTTGACTGGTTACAAGGGCTCTTCCCAATAAGTGAAGTACCTATGTTTGGGATCTAAACCCGCATAAATAGTTTCTTCTTCTAGCTAGAATCACATTGATGATCAGTAAAGTTCCAAATGCATGTTCTGTATGCTTTTGTCCTCAAGTTTTAGAGTTGGTAGATCCTGTGAACAGAGTTTTAATTCCTGCATGTTCTGTATCAGGTGGTGGTGGTTGTTTTTAGTGAAGTTTAATTTTAGAATTATATATATATAATTCATCCCTGAAATTTGAAATTTCATGTGAAAGAGCATCAATGAGCATCAATGGCTTATGACAGAATTGATAATTGGAGATAAGGTTCTTCCCAAGAAACACCAAAAGTTTAGCAACTTTTTACTCTTGAACTATTAACAATATGAAATGAAGGCTCAGTTATTTGATAAATGGAGAAAGGATTATCTCTTCTTATTCTTCTTAATTCTCAATAACTGGTAAGAGTAAAAAGTTGGCAATTTGTGTCTGTTGCATGCAATTTCCTTGTAGACTAAATTTGTGGTGGTTATTTTATGGTAAGAGTTTGAGATACTGCTAATTAATTTATAACTGTGAATAGATTGGTGTGGTTATACTCACACAGTTACACTAGACTGACTTGAGTATTAAATTAATGAATGCAGACACAGCTGATGATGGACAGCCTAACAGCTCTTATTGAGAAGGTAATCTCTCATGTTCTTAATTACACTCAAACTCCATTTAATTTGCATTAGAGTAAATGAAATTGTTATCTGCCAATTATGCATTCAAGTCAACAATGTATATGAGCAGAAACTGAGTGATTTCTTAGAATTGAAGGAAGAGTGTTGTTTGTTGTCATCAAGTAGCAGAATGCTTGGTGTTTAATCGCTTGCAATATCTGATTTCTTTATAGGGTTTTTGTGGAGTCTCCTGGCAGGGGAATTTTTATTTTTGTTTTCTTATTTTGGTTTTTGGTTTTTGTTTTCTGGATGAATTAAATGTTTAAGCAGAAAAGCATGGTTTTGGTTCTCAGTAATGGTGTATTTCTCAGCTATCATTTTATATAGGGTTAACTTATGTTGGTTGAGTTGATAGAGGTAACCAAGGAAGAAACTAATTTGTATTTGTTGACTCTAATGAACAGGAAAAACAACTGCAAGAAGAGAAGCTTCTCATGGAAAAGGAGGTATATGTTGTATAATAATATACTAGAAATTGAAAGAGAGGAAAAACAAGTTAAACACACAACTCACCGGGACTTGATGGTGTATGTATGTAATTTAAGTGAGAAGGTGCTTAAAATTTTGGTGGGTTTCAGATTGCAGAGCTGAAGGAGCAGAAGAACAAGGAACAAGCTGAGGAAGCGGATCAGCAGAGTTGTTCTGCTAACAACAACAATAGCGATGACAATGCTCCTCCCAGACAGACGATGCTCCATTTGTTCTGACTTTTCCAAGGGGAGGGGGGGAAAATGTGGCAACACCTCCAGTTGCCACGCCTAAGCTCGAGTGGACATTTGTCTCGAGAGTGTCCGGTCAGAAAGACCAATTGCAGGGCTAAGTGGCTCAGTTTGTATGTTTGTATCATATAGGTGTGATTTGTATGAGTTGAATTTGTAGGCCACCGCCGTGTAATAATAATATGTACGTATCATATCATATATATCACCGTCGCTATAATTAACTAGTTTTACTTCGTTCTCTTCTGTTTATATTTATTTATATAATTATTATATATATAATTTTTACTTTTGACTGAGCAGCTGAGCTGAGCCCATGAAGTAGTGAACCGTACTGCTTATATCATAATGAAAGGGCAACTGGACGGGACCACTATGTGAATAGTGTGTATGTAGTTACTATGATTATGATGGATTGGGATTGGATTGATGGTTTCTCTTTCAGGCAGACCAGGTTTCATACGTTATTTATACACAAGGACAACAACAATTACGTATTTATCTATTTCCTTCATCATCGGAACTTCCTAATGAAAGTGTGGCCCTTGGGAAAAGAGAAACATGTTTTTCACATTTTCAATTACATTATGTGAAAAATGAAAACAAATCAAACAAATGGAGTTTTTTTCTCTGCACTCTGGGTTGTTGAAAGCAAAGCAACATTTGATTTCAATGGATTTAGAAAAATAATACAAGAGAGAGTGTAGAGAAGATGAAGAATCCAGTGAGTGGCAGATGTAGAATTTCGCGATTCGAGGTCGGCTTATATCTATGTGTGTATATACACACACACACACACACATATATATATATAGCTTGGGTCTCCGTCGAGTTTTGTGCTGGAATTTGGTTCTCCGTCCCTCAGTCTTCTTGAGGTCTGTATGGTGTCTTTTGGGCTCGGTTTTAGGGATCTTTGTAGATGAGCCACTCTTGACCTCTCAATTTGCAGGTTGGTTTTGATATGCTATTGATCTCTGTGTCTTTGGAGGTGGAGTTGATAGATCTTGATGGATTTGCATTTAATGGATGTTGTGCGATCATGTGGGGTGCTGAAGGCACTATGGTCTTCTATGGCCAGATGATTGTTGAGCGGTAATGCCCTTTTTAACTTCTTGGTGTTTCTAGGCCCTAGCTACTGCAAAGTTTTCTCTACCCTGGTCTTTGTGAAACACTGATGTTGCAAGGAGTTTTCTAGATCCTCTCATTCAACTCTCAGTGAGCTGCACTTTAACATGGGATTTAGTTTCCTCACTATCTTGCTGGTTGCTTTTCCAGTTTTTTTTTTAATGCAAGAACCTCATTTGGGGTGTGTTATTGTTAAATTCTTGTATTTTACCACTGTTATTAATGAATTTCTATTCTTAAAAAAAAAAAAAAAAAAAAAAAAAAAAAAAGACTGACAATATAAATATAATAATGTATATAAACGAGGAAATTTATTCCCCAAATGATGATGGTATCAAAGAGTAAGAAACCTATGTTATATATTAAGATTTCATTTGCAAGTAACTGCTTAATACATACATAGATATCATCTTCCTCTCCTGTCCTGTCAAAGTATATTATATTGTATCATTTCATTCTAAAATTCAATTGTTATGTGGCTATATAAGTATAGGGAAATCCCAACTCTGAAGCTGCCAATCACTGAGCTATATAAAACTAAATTCAAATATGATTTTGTCTTTTTGTAGGAAAATACATTTTTTCGCTGATACTCATTTCATTAAGATGCTTCTTAATTATAATTGTAATCATCCATAACATTTAAAAGAAACAGACTCTAAAGAAGAGTTCATACAAAGTATTTGAGGGAAAAAAAAATGCTGCTGAAATTAAACACACCGACTGAACTCAGAAATGACAAAACAATTGATGTATCCCTGAGAAAATCGAATATATAAATAAATATAGATTGCTGCTAGCCGGTGTAGATGTGAACTCCAATAGCAATGAGGAAAATGGTGACGAGGCCAAAGTAAATGATGGTATGAACCAAGATGGAAACCCCACTGGTCTGCATGTTGTTAAACTCCACCACTCTGCTATTCCCAGGCAGCTGAAACAACAGCCCCGGCGTCAACAGCACAAACAGCACCACCGCTATCACCACCGGACCCCAATCCGCCATTTTCTACCACCCTTCCCACACAATTTAATGAACAGAGTGCTACGAGATTACCATACAGTTATCAAGTTAGGAGATGATATGAGAGTAGGGTAGTAGACTTGCTACAACCTAGTAGCAGTGGAGTGTAGAAATAGAAATGAAAGGGCAACAAGAAGGAAGCACCATAAAAAGAGTGAATGGAGGTGAAAAGAGCCAAAATGGGAATTGATGGAGACAAAGAGCCACAAGCTCCGCGACGAAGCAAAGGGTTACAAACTAAGTAATCAACAGACGGTATTATCTTTGGAGCTTGGACTGTACGGCTCTCATTTGCCTCATTGGACGGCCATCACCTCAAAGTGGCATCTCTCTTTTGTTTCGACCTTCGAATTGGACGGCAATAATTTGAACTTGGACATTCTGGAAAGCCCAAATATACAGTGCTTCCACTTAATTTTGGATTGGGCCCCAAAAACTTATCAGTCAATTCTTGATAGCATATCAGACATGTCTGCATTATCGTTTCTTCGTGTTTTAACTTTTGGGTAGCCCCTGCATTTCTTAATGCATGCGTCTTTAGCTTTTTCTAGTAGAAACGGGCTAAAAAAAACACTGCCTTTTTTTCCTGTTAAACATGCATAGCATACGCTAACCACAACTTTACACTTCATTTTGCTACATTATTTTACAATATTTCTGTAAAGATGACTCCACCTTCATCAATCTCCAGAGAAAGCAAAAAGAGCCCCTGCTAAATGAACAATTATTGGAAGCTTATGAAAGCAAAGAACTTTGTTACCATCTCCATAAAGCAAACCCACCACCTCCTCCTAATACCTTTCCTCTCTTTTATCCCACTGTCTTCTTTCTCACTAAGTTTAGCATCCCTGTCTCCTTCTTCACTAAGATAATAGGATCCATCCTTCTACATATTAAGAAACATCATAACAGTCTGTTTATCTATTTCAAGGGAAGTCTCAAGTTTCCATACCTCCATTCCATTTTGGGGAGGGAGAGAGAGAGAGAGAAACAGACAGACAGACAGAGACAGAGACCGAGAGAGAGAGAAACAGACAGACAGAGACCGAGAGAGAGAGAGAGACGGACAGAGACTGAGACATAGAGAGATGGGTGCTGATTGGGGACCAGTCATTGTTGCCGTGGTCTTGTTCATCCTCCTTTCGCCAGGGCTGCTATTCCAATTACCAGCAAGAACTAGGGTAATGGAGTTCGGAAACATGATGACAAGTGGGATTGCTATTCTGGTTCATGCCGTCATATACTTCTGCATACTGACCATCTTGATCATAGCAATTGGTATTCACATACATGTCAACTAATCCATATCATTTTCAGCCACCACCCAGAGTGGTGTTTGCTCTTTTCTTTTAATTTTTTTCTGAAGTGATTCTTCCTCTTTCTACTACTGTGCTCCTTCTTTAATGTTGTCCTGCTACCTGATTGGTTTAGTTCACTTCACACTCGGCATTGACACATTGTAAAGGAGCATCTCAATGAATTGGTTCATAGCATCAATCAGGCTCAACAACGCAAGGTTGTTCCATATTGAGTTTGCTCTCACTAAGTTTCCAATCTATATTGTTTAAGTTTTATAGTATCAGCTACACAGAAAGATCTATCTGTAATAAACCTACTTTTATGGAGTTGCTTATCATTTTAACACGAAGCATTGTCATCCAAGCATGGGTAAGAACCTAAGGGGCAAAATATCTAGACAAAGATCTATGTTTTCTATGGGTATTGTGAAACCATGCACTTAGAGGGCACATATCCTATACTGGAATTTTGCATATCAACTATTTGCAAAATGATTTCCTATACCAATAACCACAGACATCATAACCAACTAAAAGAATAACAATAGAAATAGCTACGCATCTCTAAAATTGTCTCTAATTCAAAGTTCAGACCACTTCTCAAATATAATATAAATATCTAACAAATAAGATCAACAAAAATAGATTAAAGAGCAGTTAAGATGGTCTTGAGACCACATGATAGAGGTGGATATACTCATTCTACATTTCTAGTGCTTCCCCCATGTGGCAAAAGAGGTTTCCATTCCAAGAAAAATGAAAAAGAAAAGAAAGTGATTTCAAGTTGAGGCCTTTAATGTACCCAGCACCTTGAGCCATGAAGCATGAGCCTTGAGCTCAACAAACACCCAAAAAACCCCGACTTCACGACCTCTTTGGCTTTTTAATCATTTTTTTCCCATAGTATTTAGAAAGGAGCTTAAGCTCAGCAGTGGATCTTGAAGACTCCTACTCCAAGAGGAATATATTGCACCAGAGATCCAATGGAATGATTAAAATCTATGTACATGTAGAATAAACTAGAATCAATTTATGCCGGTTTCTCAAATCCAAGACTATTAACAAAATGGAAAACATCAGGGACTATAATAAGCAGCTTCATCTTCTTCAAATCAATTAAAGATTTGTGCTTTGTATTAATAATTAAGTTCAAAACCAAGTACAGCCATTAAGTTACAAGTTACTAAGAAAAGAGAATACACAGATCCAAAGCGGCGAGAGTACCGGATCAGCCAGTATAGATGTGGACGTGAACGGCCAATATGAGAATGGCATAGAGAGCGAAAAAGATGAGAGTGTGCACAGCTATGGCCTTGCCATTCGTCTTCATGCTCCCAAACTCCACCTGCCTGCTGTTTCCCGGTAACGAGAAGAGAAGTCCCGGTTGCAGCAGAATGAACAGCACCACCCCAATCAATATGGGCCCCCAGTCCGCCATTATTATTTCCTACAAATTGATTTTCAAATGAAATTTCGGATTTTTGGATGAGGGTTTCTGGGTTAGGGCCTGAAGTTACTAGCCTTCCTTCGTCGGACGCAATGGGGATGAAGACGGAAGTGAAAGGATTTTGATTTGCTTATTTTATTAGGGTTTTCTGAGTGAGAGTGACACAGGATTCGGAATTTCGGAATTGCAATTTTGCAATTTTAATAAGCAAAACAACCATGACGAACGGCAGAAGAAGCTACTAGCAAGTGAAGATTTGGCTTCTCTGCTTTGGGTTGCAGATTAGATCGGTGCAGTTGGGTACTGTCTACCTTAGAATAAACGAATAAGTGCAATTGGGTCCCACCCACTAGCTCAAAGTTTTCTCCTTTGTTATTCTTTTCCTCTTTGACTATTGAAGATAAAGCTTGAGCCTTTAGTGGCAGAATCGGATTGAATAGACCTGGCGGTGCTGAAATGGACAGTGATTGGAGCTTTTAACAGCAAACTCTCCCCTTTAAAAATGCTAAATGGAACTGCTATCGATTGCAAACAAAACAACACAATAATGCAATTTATATGACTGGCTGGCTGCGCTCACTCCTTATGTTATGTTATGTTTTGAGCTATGTATGTATGGCCTTGATCACAATTGAACAATAGAAAATGATAAGGATGCTCTGCCTTATCCAATAAATCCAACCAAGCAACAACAACAGCTGCAATACCAAGAATTTAAAATTGAAGCAAGGGCTAAAGTGGATGGTTGATAAATATTTATCTTCTTTCCAGCTTTATGAGATTCCCATTCCCCTCTTTCAATGGCTTAAATCCAAATCATATAGCATCCAAAGCCCTTTTTTATATGCTCTCTCTATTATTCTTCTGCTGAGTCTGAGCCCTGAGCAGATCAAAGAAGGCTAGGCAGGAAATCTCCGGACAGGGGCTTTATTTAGAATGAAGAATTGGGCTGCTCCTCTCATAGCTTCAGGGCTGTTTGCATTTTTGTCACCAGGGTTGGTGTTTCAAATGCCTGGCAAGGAACGTCCCTTCGAATTTATGAACATGAAGACTAGCGTGGCCTCCATATTCTTGCACGCTGTTATCTATGGTTTGCTCATCATTCTGTTTCTTGTTATTCTTGACATTCGCATCTATGCTTAGGGTGCAGCGGCCATCTCAATTGTCATTTTGTCAAAGAAAAGAAGAGCTGTGGTTTTTAGGATTCTAGCAGACCAGCTTAGTGCTTTTCGTGAAAGAAGGATTTAGTTATGTTGTTTTACTCTTTTCATTTACTGCCACTGGTGCTGTTGTGCTACTTGTATGTATTATTACCTTCATGAATTCTCCTTTGTGCAATGAAAAAACTATAATTGATGCAGCCTTGACAATCTTTCTTATTTTCTAGGGTATCTATGCTTGCCTTTCATTTACAAGCCAGATCACTCATAGCATAGGAGATAAGATATTTGTTTTGCTTTCCTTTGGGATGGCAACTTGAATTGCGATATGCAGGAAAACAAGCAGAACTTGTGCTGTGGTCCTGCTCATGGCATGCTAGCTTCCCAATTTGCAACCATTAAGTCAATAATCGGCGTAAAAGTAATTCTGTGAAGACGAAATATAGCTTAACAAGGATCTAACACCACAAAAACATATGAACTTGACATGGAACAGAGAGTCAACCAGATTTTTTTGGACTTTCTTTCTTTTTTCTTTCATTAGTCAATGAATTTAGGTGATCCCCATTAAAGCTTTACAGTTTAGCAAGAAACACACCTCGTAGGAGCATGGTGACTACTTTTGCATCATGAACTTACCAAAAGAATATCCAGTTACTTTATGAAACTCCACCATCCAGCAAAACTCAAAATCAATGACAAACAATGTGGAACCAAGAGAACAGAATATTTTACCTTAGCATCTGACTAGATTAATCATGTAAGAATGCACAATCCAAACAAGTCAGTTAAGTACATAACTGATCATCAACCTGAAACGTAAATGAGATAAATTCTTAAAGGGTACTACATAGTAGAGTTGAGATGAGAATTGGGCGTGTTATCTGTGGCAGTTTGAGTTGATCATGAGCCAACATACATGTGGACACCAATAGCTAATAAGAAGATGCAGATGAGAGCAAAGTAGATAATGGAATGAACCAGTATGGAGATTCCACTAGTCTGAAAGTTGCCAAACTCTACGAATCGACCTTTTCCAGGCATCTGAATCAGCAACCCTGGAGTGAGCAGTATAAACAGCACCACTGCTACGAAAACTGGCCCCCAATCTGACATCTTCGATGTGGTTCTTGCACTTGATCTCTTTTATCCCTCTCAAGATCCAAATCTGTTTAGTTGTGATCTGATCTTCTGCCAATGAGTTGTACAAATTAGTGACTAGTAAGTGGGAGAAGGAATAAGGAATGGTTGGTATGGAGGGGAAAGAAACAATGAAAGATGTGCGTGATTATAAAGTTGAGCTTTGGGAGGAAGAGACAAGGGATAGAAGATAGGGAAAAAAGTGAAGGTTAGAGGATCAAGCTATTCCCTTCCCTTCCCATATGTTCACATTTTAGTATTTTGGAAGTTTACAGCTCACATCACATGCATACCAAGGAAATTTCCCACATAACACTCAACCCGTACAAACACTTTGAATTGCCACAACTGTAAATCTGCCTCCTGCGCTATAGAGGGTAAGTTGCGTAACCAACCGATGACTTTCCCTTCACTCAGTTTCTGATGTCCATCACTACTTCTAAGTTCTGTGCATCACAAGCTATAGGAACCAGCTGAGCTGAACAAATTATTTTTTGGCTTTTGATTGGTGGTACAAAACTTTCTTTTCACTGAAGCATTATAGAGATGCAAGTTCCTGTTTTTAAATTGTGGATAAGCCTCTTTATTTGGAGTGGCTCCCTTTCATCTCCTTGTATTTCTCTTTCTATATTGATTGATTTTGGTGGAGCCATTTGGATCTCACACACACTTTGTTGTTAAAGATTGTTTAATGGAGCGCACAAGTTTAAAAAAATAAATAATAATAATAATAAGGCTAGAAACTGAGCCCAAAGGGCCAACCCAACAACCAAACTGCAATATTCAAGAAGAGAAGAGACGAATGGGCCGCTACATGATCCAGTCCACGTTCGATTCGATTAATTAAAATACCAAAACATGAAAAACGATCGTCGACAGCAGGGTTCGAACCTGCGCGGGCGAAGCCCAACAGATTTCAAGTCTGTCTCCTTAACCACTCGGACATATCGACTTTGATGTTATGTCAAGCCTAGATAGTGCTATTTAAACAAATCTCTTCCATGAAATAATCTTTTGTGCTTTGCTAATTGATTCGCGTCTTCTTCAAATTCTACCATTTTGGTCTATTTAACCCTACCCCTTTCATTTTAGTGCGGAATTTTTCTGCTTTAGTTTTGATTTTAGCATGTTGCTTTGTTGGCCCTTTTGTAATTGGTACTTTAAATGTCATATTCGTGTCTTTGATGGTATTGTTGAAGTTTCTCTTTGATTTTTTTTTTATAAAATTAAATAAAATAAAAAAAACACACTACCCCTTTCTTTTTTACTATCAAATTACCTTAGTGTTTTGACAATTGATAAGTGTCTCTTCTAAATCCAAGTTTTTTTAATTTCGTGTACACATCACCACCACGTTATAAAATGTCTTGCAATTTGCAAACCAACTCATTGCATATGCCTACTATACTATTTTGGGAGTTTCACTAAAACACCCAAAATGGGGGTTGAAATTATAAAAAAATCCAAGCACTATTTAAACATATAAACACACCCAAAACCCATCATTACACACACTCAAAACCCATTTATAAACACACCCAAAAAGTTGACTTTGGGGTTGATTTTGGGTGTGTTTCTATATTTAAATAATGCTTAGGTTTTTTTATAAATACATGTATAGAATTGGGTTTATTTATAAATTTGTATACTATTTTAGTCATGTGACGTTTCAAGCTAAGGAAGGGTATATATTTTGTGTTCCCAAGTCAATACCCACCAGAGTGTTTGTTTGGTGTGTTCCAGTCCCGTCCAACAAAATGCTGCATATATTGATTGATATGAAGAAAAACGACAACTATTGACATCGGAAATATATATTATCTATTACCAATCAAGCCGAAAATTAATTTTATAGTAGAGCATGAGCATAATTATTGAGAAAACGACATGATCTATGTCCACCGACCGCATGTTACGCATGACGTTTTTATTTTATTTTATTATTTTTTTTATAAACAATTGGATTCATAAAATATATTTTCAAATGAATCCAAACTGACGTTAGATTCTTTTAAATAAACAAATTGAAATTAGATTGCTCTTTAGCAAAATTTTTGAAAAATAATAACTGAAATAAATCAAAATTGTGAAGAAAAAAAGAGAGGATGAAAATCAATCAAATTAATCTTTCATTTGTGGCAATGATTTGGGTTCAAACAGATATAATGCCAAAGCATTTTTCGATTTGTCTTCATCAAGTATGATAATGGTATAAATTGGTCGTCGGATTGCCAAAATTGCCTGGACAAGTGGTTCTCAGTCGGAGTCGGCTAAATGATGCAATGCAACTCTAGGGTACAAAAACAAGTGGCCTGAAAAAACAGAGCATTGCTACCATTGAATTTTGATCCAAAATAAAGAAGAAAAAGCAGCATTGCCCAACGATGAAAAATCAAGTGGACCAACCAAAATAAAAAAACCACAAGAGAAACAAGGCATGACTTTCTTCCACCAAGAAAAAGCTTTGAAAAAGAAACGATTTTTGTAGTAAAGCGGCCATTGCCGTGCTTGTAAGTTGTATTATTTCTGGTCTCACGGTCAGTCGCAACACAAAACAAGTACGTGTGTCTGTGTCAGTGCCATTTCCGTAAATATTGCATATATCAAATGCTTTATTATTTAAATCATGTCGTGCCTAAACAAAATAATCTGTCAGTATCAGATTTCGACCAAAAAAATAATAATAATCTGTCAGTGGTCCACGATCGGTGACCCAATCCAGCACAGCCTCTGGTTCGTCATCATCACCACCCTATACCTTCCACAGGAGAGAGCAGTCACTGGTGTTGTATACATCTGCTTGCATCATTACCTTCATATAAATAAAACCCAACAAGTTCAAAGGCAAAAACAAAATTGCCAAGAGTATAAATATATATATTCCAAATTCCAATAGCGCAGACCTAAACAGAGATTGTAGGCAATGATGGGTCGGCTGCAGGAGAAGTTCAGGTCCTTCTTCAGCAACAGATGGCTGGTTTTTGTGGCTGCAATGTGGGTACAATCCTGTGCGGGTATTGGGTACTTGTTTGGGAGCATATCACCGGTGATAAAGAGCTCTATGGACTACAATCAGAGGCAGATTGCTAGGTTGGGTGTGGCTAAGGACCTTGGGGACAGTGTTGGCTTCTTGGCTGGGAGCTTGTGTGAGGTCCTGCCTTTGTGGGCAGCTTTGCTCATTGGTGCTTTGATGAATTTTATTGGGTATGGCTGGGTTTGGCTTATTGTTACTGGTCGAGCTCCTACTCTGTCTTTGTGGGCTGTGAGTATCTAAAGGAGACTCTCTCTCTCTCTCTCTCTCTCTCTCTCTCTCTCTCTGTTCTTTTCAAGCATTTGATTTTCCTTTTATTGGTGATCTTAAAATAGTACAAGGTTTGGTTATTTGTTGATCCAGTTTGATTGTATATTTTGCGATTGTGGGTTGGTTTTCGATGGTCCTTTTCTCTTTCTCAACGTTGATTTCTCATCGATTTAATTTGACTTTTTATTCGATTCATGAATATACTGACTGAACAGTTTGAGGAAGATACAGGAATGGATGGTTTCTCTGGAAATGGATATTCTTTCTGGTATCTTTGGTTTGAGTTGATGATAAGACACAGTTTAATCATATATGTCCTTAAGAAAGGAGCTATCTTTTGCCTTAAACTGTGCTATTTGTTAGTTTTAAGTAAAGTTTTAGTCTTCCTTGTCCACATTCGAGAACATCGGATTGAAGAATTGAGTATATGCCCTCTGTTTAAGGCTCTGTTTGGATCCTGGAGAGGTAAAGAAAATGGAGAGAATACGCAGAATTGCTATTCAGGGTCCCTGGAGGCTGGAGTCAGCATTTCTGCATTTTCAAGATCCTCTAAAAAATTTGCTTAATTGCGTTTTTAATTTGATATGACAGACAAAAGAAATGGTCATCCAGCTAGAGTTCAATAGTGGTTTTTATGTTTGTTTTTAAAAGATCTTCTACTGCGTTAGTAGACCTCGTTCATGATAACTTTTGATAGAGCAACAAAGTTCGTAACAAATTTAGAAACCATTTGAACACAATATGATTAGCAATGGGCAGGGGTGCCATGCATTCTTTACACAGATTATGAAAATGATTCAATATTTCTTTTTGTCACTTTGTTGTTGTTAAACCGTTGCATTTTTGCAGATGTGCATTCTTATATTCGTGGGAACAAATGGTGAGACCTTCTTCAATACAGTTGCTCTGGTCTCTTGTGTGCAAAACTTCCCAAAAAGTCGGGGTCCTGTAGTTGGAATTCTGAAGGGCTTTGCTGGGTTGGGTGGTGCAATTATGACTCAGATATATGTGACGATCCATTCCCCAGACCATGCATCTTTGATTTTCATGGTTGCAGTTGGTCCAACAATGGTGATTGTTGCTTTAATGTTTATTGTCAGACCAGTTGGAGGTCACAGACAAGTCCTGCCAACTGATGCCATGAGCTTCACGTTTATTTATAGTCTGTGCCTCCTATTAGCTGCTTATTTGATGGGGGTCATGCTAGTTGAAGATCTAATTGATTTGAACCACACTGTGATCACTATATTTACAGTCATTTTGTTTGTCCTCATCCTAATTCCCGTTGTGATTCCTGTTCAATTGAGCTTTTTCTCAGAGCCAAGAGCTCTAGAAGAAGAGGCACTCCTACCTGCGCCAGAGAAACAAGAAGTTGGCAAATCTGAACAAGATGCTAATGAGGTAATATTCAGTGAGGTGGAAGATGAGAAGCCTAAGGAAGTAGACTTGCTTCCAGCTTTAGAAAGGCGAAAACGAATTGCCCAATTGCAAACAAAACTATTCCAAGCAGCTGCAGAAGGAGCAGTGAGGGTTAAGAGGAGGAGGGGTCCGCATAGAGGGGAGGACTTCACCTTGACACAAGCTTTGATCAAAGCTGACTTTTGGCTTATTTTTTTCTCACTTCTCTTGGGTTCTGGATCTGGTTTGACAGTGATTGATAACCTGGGTCAGATGAGCCAGTCTCTAGGGTATGATAATACACATATTTTTGTATCCATGATCAGCATTTGGAACTTTCTTGGTCGGGTTGGTGGCGGTTACTTCTCTGAGATTGTTGTGAGGTATGAACTGCTTACATTCTTATCTAGACGTTCTGTAAGCATTACTTAAATTTTGGATTTGTGACTTCTCATCCATCATTGTACATTCAATAGGGACTATGCTTATCCAAGACCAGTAGCAATGGCTGTGGCACAACTCCTTATGGCAGTTGGGCATATCTTCATTGCTTTTGGATGGCCTGGAGCAATGTACATTGCTACCATCTTTGTTGGGCTAGGCTATGGGGCTCATTGGGCAATTGTGCCAGCTGCTGCTTCTGAATTGTTCGGCTTGAAAAAGTTTGGGGCTTTGTACAATTTCCTCACAATAGCAAACCCTGCTGGTTCGTTGCTCTTTTCTGGTGTGATTGCTAGCAGTATATATGACATGGAAGCAGAGAAGCAAGCTCATCAGCACCATCACCTGCATACCATTCCAGGATCAGTTTTCCAAGGCATGCTTAGACTGGATGCACCAAAGTGTGATGGTGCTATATGCTTCTTCTTAACTTCTTTAATTATGTCCGGATTATGCATTGTTGCGTTTGTTTTAAGCATGATTCTGGTACATCGGACTAAGATTGTATATACCAACCTCTACGGAAAATCCCGTTCAGCTGGCCCGTCATAACCAGAGGATTCCAACTGAATCATCCTGTATTTCCTAAGTTGCCATTTCAAAATAGAGTGCTTTTGTTCCAAATTGTTGCTTGCATTCTTTGTCTGAGGTCGTGTAGAATTTCTCTGTGTTTCTATAACCATGTATCAAGGATGATGGAGGCAATTACACACTCTCCAGAAACTCTCGAGGGTCAGAACCAGAAACCAAGGTTTTTCCTTCCCTCCGTGTCCCAATTCAGAGCTATGTATTGGTTATGTAAGATTGTCCTTTGATGTGTTAGAATGTTGTATTGAATTTGGAGATTCAATTGACATTGAAATGTTTTGAAATTCAGAGTCAGTTTGTGCCCAATATTCTCCCATGATTGAATAGAAAGATTGTCACTTATTTTGTTTTTCCGGAGTTTTTTCTGTAACTTTGGATATTTACAGTTTTCTCAGGCATATTAGCAGCTTTTGCCTTGTTCTAAATAATCAAGAACTCCAACTATCAATTAGGAACCATGACGTTTTTTGACTTTTTTTCATATGGTAAATCCATTTGTATTTGGTGCCGGCTCATTAGTCGAAAATAACTGAGTACTGAAAGTCCAAAGGAAGTGCAGATACCTGCCCAGGTAAACAAAATAAATTATGAACAGATATTCTTTATCAATAAATAGGTCATATTGCAGGTATTCCTTCCTATACTTTCAATCAACGACTCCCTCATGACCATGACAATTGTCACGAGGACAAACAGATATTACTGAGAAATGAGTTCTTCTTTGGAGACTATTATTTCACACAATGTGTTGTGTTAAGTAGAACCAGCAATTTATAGTCCCAAGATCCATCGTTCCTTGGTGGCTATCAATGGATCATGAATTGAAGGTGGTGCAGTCTGTCCTTATCTCCCCTTGGTCACCAGTCTTAACGCCGACCCTTCCGAGCTTCCTCATGGCAGTGATGAAGGCTCCATTGAAGTTACCAGGGTTGTTAGCAAAATCAATCACAGTAGGCTGAGATGCAGAGTCAGAGAAAAGAACCTGATCCGAACTCAACAACCCCTTCCCTGCAACCAAGTTTCTGTAATAGGCGTTGTCAAAAGTGGCTGGGGTTTCAGGGTCCAAGTTGATAACTGGGTCTGCATTTATGGGACAGGCTCCTATCAACTGCTTGGCATAGCCAGGATCCAAAGAAGGGTCCACAGGAGAGTTCGATGAAAAGTTGGAGAGGCGGTCTGAAAAGCGACCACAGTGCGAAAAGCCTACAGTATGTGCTCCAGACAATGCAACAACATCAGTTTGGGAAAGATTGTGTTTGGCGAACATGGTATTTAGCTGATCGAGATTAAAGTTTGGTTCTGGCAAATTCCCAGCGACCTGAGAGGCTTGTGAAACTAGTCCATCACGGCGTCCCAATTCTACGCTGAATGCAGGGCCTCCAGCCTGCAGAGAATTTGAAAGTGGAATTAATATGTCATGAGATAAGTAGTGGATTGGATTGTTATTTGTTAACAAGCTTTGAGTTAAGTTTGTGCATCTGCCTTGCATGAGCCATGAGTGTCATGGTATGACTTACGAGGACTACACAATCCCGGGCAGCGAGAGCCAAAATGTCAGCACAAGAGACGACACCGGGGCATAATGCTTCCACTGCTTGCTTGGCCTTGATGACGGTGTCAAATCCATCTCCTGCTAACGAAAGATTATCCGTGAAGTCCTTCTCTGCATCCCCATTTGCTGAAGCGATCATGACCGATGCATCGCATCCCTGCAAATTGATTGTAAAGTCGAAGATTGATTAACCAAGAAAAGGATGAGTATATTGTGACATTTTAAACACCATGCCCATTGCCCTGCTTCAATGCTTGCAACCTACCTCAACAAAGCAGTCATGGAAAAATAGTCGCAAAGTGGACGGAATTGTGATAGGCGTCTGGCTTAGTTTTGTAGAGACTGCCTGCTTCACTATCAATTCCACATTTGGACAAGTAGAGCTATAGAAGTTTTCTGCTAATTGTCCCTCTGATTCCCTCCCCTGCATAACCGTCAAAACCAAAACCACCATTAACAGCAACAACCCTTTACATGCCTCCATCTTCCTTCTCTAGCCCACTCTCTCTGTCTTTTTCTCCCTGTGCGTAGTCTCCATTAAGCTATGAATCTTATTTATAGTCAGAGAAGATAAGAGGGAGTTGAGAAAGACAATGACAACCCTCAAAACCATAGGTAATTAAGATTGGTCATGCATACTATTACTTGGTCCAAGCGTCCAATCGTCCAATCGTCCAATCGTCCAAAGTCCAAGACTCTGATTAAATGTAATAATGTTCTACTTCTAAATTGTAGCCATGCTCTATATTTGTTGGCCTCTGTTGTATTGGATGTAGGGTGTTGGGGGTTGGTCTTTGTCTTGTAGAGGCATCTTCATGTCCAAGTTACACATGCAGAGCCTCCTTTTTTAGCACACTTTGTAGCTGTAATTTATTTATAGTAGCATGTATGCTAATTCATAGTACGAAACACAATCTTATCAATTACTTGATTGATCAGTATGATCCAAAGACTTGTGTCTTTTCTTATACAAGCGATATTGTGCGAGGGGAATTCGAACACATGACCTCGGGTCGGGTGTATGGGTAAATGCTCTTAACCACTTGAATTACAAACCCCTTTTACAATAATTGTAAACCTTTTTGTTGAACCTTGCAAGTCAAATTCAAATACGTGTAGCATCTATTCCCCTGTATTTGGTATATTTCTTTGATCATTTGGTTCTTATTAATTGTTGGTTTCCAATTGGCTCTCAACGCAACAACTCCCTTAGTCATTACTTGCTAGTTTGTAATGAAAATGACAAAATAACAAATACTTATCTCCAACTTACGTAATGTTGCACGAGTCTAAGGTGACTTTCATGGTTTCATTTGAGTTCATATCTGGTTCACATTTGAAATTTGTAATGACGTGTGGAAAGAATAATTATACCATATCAAACAGGTTTTCTATTATTTTAGTAAATTCGTCAGATAAGTATTATCAAACAACAGTAAGAACGTTACTTTCATTTCATGCCCTGCCTGCCTGGCCTAGCGTGTGCTGCATGTTTGTCAAATAATTATTGCTAAATCCAGTATTATCTCTCCAACTCCTAAAGTGAGTAACTCATTACTTGCAAGTTGCAATCAAAGAAAAACGAACTATCGGCATATGTGGGCTAGACCAGTTCACCAGCCTCCTTTTATCCGAATTTGAATCACCTTCTCGTACATTAGAGTGGTTTACAATATTAATTTTTTCAGGAAAAAAACTATCCAAGATAAATAAAGAGTAAATAATAAAAGAAATGCAAACCCAACACTTCTTTGACTGTGCAAATAGGCCCATATTGTCTTTATGCCCAAACGTGGCTTGAGAAGGATGATCTATAGATGGGCTAGTTTTCAGGCCTCTCATTGAGAACCAAGCCCGAATTTCGTACCCGATTTAAGTAGAAGCCGCTTAATGTTCCGTTCGGTTGGAGAGAGTACAATTTACGATTGTCGATCAACCAGTATCGCTCAGGGCTCACAGTAGCAGAGAAAGCCGCGTCTAGCACAAAGCCATGGCGTCGATGGATGTAGAAGGACCACAGTTAGGGTTTCCGCACTGGAAGCCTCTCCGTCGAAGGTTCGGCCCTGAATCTCCTTTTTTCGCATCTGGCAACATCGAAAGAGAACTGCTTGCCAAACAGGTTCTCGTCTTTTCCTTTCTTTCTTATTTGGTGTAAATCGTATGAAGTGTGACGCTGTTTGAGATGATTTGCGTCTCTTGAGTCCGAATTTGAACGAAGTTTCTAAGCATCAAACACAATTAGCATTTCAAAATTATGCTTCCACATTTGGCTGAAATGAATTCAAATTTGAAATTGAATTTTTTTTTTTTGGGGGTGCTTTTTCCTTAATCAGTTTACTGTAATATTCCGTAGCTTGCATTGGATTTAACTGAAGATGAAAGGCATCAACTTCGGAATATGGTAGATGAGGAAGGCAGGTATTCATAGTTGCATGAAATTTATAAAAGAGTTTGATCATGAAGACACATTTTGGGTTTTGGTTGGTTTTTCCTTAATGTGAAATGTGAAGTGTGTGCTGTGCAGGGGGGTTTTCTGTACCATTGTTGGTTGTGGTGCTCGCTTGAGTTCCTTGGAGGATTTTGAAGATCACTATAATGCACGGCACACTGCATCTTGTTCTGTGTGCTCTAGAGTCTACCCAACATCACGGTTGCTCAGCATACATTTATCTGAATCTCATGATTCTTTCTTTCAGGCGAAAGTTGCACGCGGCTATCCCATGGTATTTACTCTTCATTTTCTTCCATGACTCATGCTAGTATTGTCTGTATGATGTTGGGCTTTTGTCGACACCAGTTTTTGTGGCAGCCCTCGTTAATTTTTGCGAAAATGTTGTTGATTTAAAATATGAGAGTTTTGTGTGAAGCAAAGAATAAAAGGAAAACATGGCCATAGAAGTCATTTCATGCTTTCCTTTTTCTCATTTGCCTTTCTCCCAGTCCGGGTGCTGACTTAAAGTCCTTACTTGACAACTGAACATTATTATCCTTTAAATTTTCAAATCAAGTATAAGTATATAACTAGTTTTGCTTAAGCATGAAGATGGATCTGGAATTTTTCAAAGCTCATGGTTTTGCTAGATGATATCTTGTCTTTACATATGCTTTCTGGTTTATATACTGAAATGATGATCGTAATTCAAAGAGTGAATCATTTCTCCATCTTGCTATTAATTTGGTTTGGATGTCTGTGTGTAACAGTATGAATGCCTTGTAGAAGGCTGTGATTTGAAGTTCAAGAACTATAAAAGTCGGCAACAGCATCTGGTGGACAAGCATAAATTCCCCACTTCATTCGAGTTTTTCAAGAAGGCTCAACCTTCCAAAAAACAGAGGCAGAAGAACCAACGTAAACAAGCTATTCCTAAGAAGGCAGATGCATCTTGTATGGAAGTAGAAAACGAAACCATTGATAGCCTTGTTTCTGCTGTCTCCAAATTAAGCACTTCAGACTCCAGCCCCTCATCCATCAGTTTTGGTCGTCGACCCACTCGCGGCTTGACATTTGTCCCACGAGCTGTTCAACGTGAGAAAAAACCAGACTCCACATAGGAACAAAGAGATGGCAAACCTACGAGCCAATGTGCTTAGGATTTGTTATAATGGTTTGCCTTTTTCCCGCACCTGTAGGTTTGGCTTCTTGCAATCAACTTGGAAACAGATTCTTTGAAAATGTTGTAGGTGATGATGGTTAATTGTTCTTTAGGAATTTCCTATGTACCTATCGAAGGCTTGTCTGACACCCTCTGATTTCAAGGATGTCTTAGGTTCACCGATGAGGACGATATTGTTGTAATGATTGGACCGGAGAAATCACACCTTCATTTAGCTGAATCTTTTCCTGGTATTTGCCACCTTGGGTTTCTTAGTTTCTTTTTCAGTTTACCTTGTTTTTTCTTCTTCATTTTTTAATTTTTTTTCCTTCATCTTCATTTTACTTCAAGCGTACACTCTTTTGCCTGATGGCACAAAATATAATAAGTGTGTGAAAGTACAACTTATAGGAAGAAACTATGAAGATTATGACTGATGAGCCAGTGAGTTGATACATAGTCCATTCGAGTTTGTTATTCGAGTTGGTCAAGATAATGTGCCCGCATTTTTACACTTGAGTTTAATTTCCCTTTCTGTATATTAGTGTAGTTTAAAATATTTGCATTGTATACAAAAATTAAAAAAAGACATCACAATTGAAATTGCGGAATTGAGGTGGAAAATTGCTAGATCAATGAACAAAGATTTTGAGTTTTCGAGTAGAGTTACGCCGAAACAACTACTGACTGGGACGCGCAAATTGCAATCGAGGGGTGTTACTGTCTCATTGTATAAAAACCCCTGTTTCCTCCCAAATCCCTAACTCAAATTCTTGTTCGTGTTCTTCTCTCTGAGGCTCTGACCAAAACAAAAATAAAATCTTGGGAATTCGTCGGAAGAAAAAAAAAAATGGACGCCATTGATTCAGTGTTTGATCCGCTAAGAGAATTCTCCAAGGACAGCGTTCGCCTCGTCAAGCGCTGTCATAAGCCCGACCGCAAAGGTAATTCCATCCATTTCTAATCCTATCTTCACTCCGATCCATTTCGTTTTTCGGATAATTAATCCAATGTTTACGCTAATTGTAATGTAATCCTGTTAATTTGAACATCTTTCATATGAGATCTGTGTTTTGAACTGACTAATATTTCCCGTGCGATTTTCTTTTTTATATTTGAATGCAACAGAGTTCACAAAGGTGGCGGTCCGTACGGCTATCGGGTTCGTGGTCATGGGGTTCGTTGGCTTCTTCGTGAAGCTCATCTTCATCCCGATCAACAACATCATCGTCGGATCTGGTTAAAGTAAGACTCTTCTTGACACACACAATTAAACTTGTATTCGTTTCTTTCTTCTTTGATGATCGCTTTGCATGCAATGAGTTTCGCAATTGAAACTCTCATTTCTGCTCCTTAATTACCACTTGAGTGTTTGATCATCGTGTTGAAGAATCGAACAGATTTTGTAGTATGGACAAGTTAAGGATGTTGGGTATTGATTATTTGTCTGCGAATTAAGCGTTGGTAAAATGTTTGTGGCGCAGGTCATTTGGCATTTTGATAGAAGATGAAAGTAAAGTTGGCAGTGAACAGTGAACACTAGGGATAAGATGTAGCACCACCAAGTGCATAGGATGTTTACAGTGTTTTAGACATTTGTTTCTTCAAGCGAGTTGAAATGATGTTTCTGAAACAGAACTTCTCACTGTACTCTTCTCTCTTAGCTTGTGCTATTGTAATTCCAAGCATGTTTTGATCATTTTGCATTTTCTCTCTTGGTCCTGTCCAGCATAGCTTTTTTGTTCTCAATTGAAGCCAAATTGATTGGTCCTGTCTGAATGAGTAGTAACCTGCATCATCTAACTACGTTTAATCTCGATCTTGATATGCCGATTTTCAAGTTAAATAGGTTTGATTGCTAATCATAGACAAATTGATGTAGAACCTTGCATAATAACTGAGTTTCAAATTGCTATCAAGGGAGAAAAGCTCAGTAGGGAGCGGAACTAGAATTTGCGAACTAGATACAAGACTAGAGTTTTTCCAGTAAAATTTCATTCATACAAAATTATACAAAAGGGAAACAGGAAAGGCAAGGCAAAAACTCATGCGCAAAGTTGGTCACAATGTAGAGTAGAAAAATTAGCATTAAGGACAAGTTCAACTTCCAAGGATCAGCAAGAATCAACAAACTGGAGGGATATCTGCAGCATCAGCAGACGCAAGTACTAGCTGAGGTTGGTTTTGAAGGATGTAGCCTTCCTTTCGTGCTTTTTTTCGTTCCCGTTGTAGCCTGAAGTTCTCCCTCTTTCTAGCCCTGTAGCTGTTGGGGTTCTCAGGCTGCACTTCTTGAGGGTAAACACTCACCTGTCAATTATACAAGTCCCCGATTAAGTCTTAATCGTGTTAGTCTTAATCGGCCTTTGAAAGCAGTAACTTTAAAGGGGTTTAGGGACTCCAAATTAAACCTTCTTCTTGTCAGGTCCATACTTCTCAAACTTAACCAAACCATCAATCAAAGAGAATATGGTGTGGTCCTTGCCAAGCCCCACATTCTTCCCTGCATGGAACTGAAATCGACGACACCAAAGAAAAACATCCAAAAGATTTTATACGTCAATCGAAGTGGATAAAAACTAAGTCTTGGTCTTGGTGGTGTTAATTTAATTGGATAAAAATCACACTGAAATTACTCACCCTCTATTTCTGAGAACTTCCAGAATCCTTAATAATTCAACACACTCAAAGAAGGGACATTCTTCACAATCCATCCACCCACCACTAGATTTATCAAACATGCATCTCTATAATCTAAGCTTCACGCACGGAGGTACCAAAATTCGAGTTCAACACAAATCATTTTCTGGTAAAATAAAAATAGTTTCAATTTATTCATGCCACTCTTCAATGTTGAGCCGATAGCACACAAACTTTGGGCTCAAAATCAGTACAACTTTAACCCCTAACATAACATTGATTTTACAAAATTAACAACATTTTGGCTTGGTTTGGTTTGGTTTGGTTTGGTTTGGGTGTAATTGAGTGCGTACCTTGGTGCCACGCTGGCGTACAATGATGGAGCCAGCCTTGGCAGCCTGGTCACCGAAAATCTTGACGCCGAGCCTTTGGCCTGGGGAATCGCGACCGTTCTTGGTACTCCCAGCTCCTTTCTTGTGCGCGTTTTGAATCGTCAAGGCCAATCTCTGGGGGTTTGACACTAATGACAGCTTGGGACCCACTTGCAGCGAACCCAAATCGCCCCTGAAGAAGGACGACGATGATGAGCTTGAGCTTGAGCCCGAGCGCAGAGAAAGCCCTCTGAATGAACCGACTAGGTTGAAACTCATAGATGCAACCGCCATTTCTAAGAACTAATCTTTCATAAACAAAGGAATATGATTTGGGAATTGTGTAATTGTCTGAGTAAATTGTGTAGTTTGTGGACAGCCAAAGCTTATAGCTTTGAACGAAGAAGAGGAAGAAGCGATAGTGAAACCTTATCCATGGAGGCTGCTGATTGGGTTATCACTGCGAGTTCTTTTTTTTAACTTCCTCTTTTCATTATTTGGGCCTGATTCAGTCTTTTACTGCAATATTTCTCCCTTCTCTTGTTGGGCCTTACACAGCTGACCCTCACCTTTGATCTATGATGAAGGCCATTGGACTTGGGCTTGTACTAGTACATACAAAATAAAAGATAACTCAATTGATTTTACGAGCATGTTTATTTTTATTTTTTTACAAAATAATATTCTAATGACTCTAATGCACTCGGATGCAAGGAACTGTCTTAATTAACTGATCTAACTTACATATGTTATGATCATGCCTTTAATTATTGTGTTTTTCATGTTATGAGATTGAGAACACATCGACTAAAAGTGAATTCATGAGAAAACACTATAACCAGACATTCATCTTACCGCACAGACAAGACGAAAATCCATGTGTATGTGTTTTGTATTGCAAAGCTGGCATTATTTTAACAAGGGATGAATAGGTTGTTAGAGAAAAAGAGAGAAACAAGGATGAATAGGTTGTTAAGAAGGGAAAAGAATCACGCAAACGAGTACCATAAGAACTTATCCAACTAACACTTCATTGGTGCCTCATCCTCATGTCTGCTGCATGCTAATACAGTCGTTGTGGACACAATCTTCCACTGATAATCATAATCTGCGCCTTCCGGCATAGCTGCGCAATATGAGTTAAGTGAGGTACCCTACATTATACATACATGTTCTTTCTTTTTGCGAATATTTTTCTACTTATTAATTAATTAAAAACATGCCAACTAGCCAAACCCGAGTTACTCTGACTCGTTGAGTAAACGAAAACGAGGGGTGGCGATCAGGTGCAAGTCACTCTTTCTCCTGCACGTCACTCCAAAAGTCTCAGTCATGTCAACTTCTTCTGGTTTGATCCCATTGGCCAATTTCCAATCAAAGTGGCAGAGCAACTGAGAAAGTGCAAGTTCAATCATGGTTACCCCAAATGTTATGCCCAGACATATTCTTCTTCCAGCCCCAAATGGAATGAACTCAAAGTCAAGCCCTTTAAAGTCAACGGAAGAACCATGAAACCTCTCTGGCTTAAAACACTCAGCATCAACCCCCCAACTCTCCACATCTCTTCCTAAAGCCCATTCGTTGACAATCACTTTTGATTTAAGTGGCAATTCATATCCACTGATTTGGCACCTTTCCCTTGCTTCTCTTGGGAGCAATGGGGTTGGAGGGTGCAGCCTCAGAGTTTCTTTCACCACTGATTTCAAATAATCCATTTTTTGAACATCTGCTTCTTCAATTCTGTTTTTCTTTCCTTCAAGGGCTACTTGTCTTACTTCAGCTTGGGCCTTCTTCATCACTCTAGGGTTTCTCATCAACTCTGACATTGTCCATTCTATGGCAGTAGCTAATGTCTCACTCCCTGCAGAGAAGATGTCCTGCATTGCCAAAAAAAAATTAAAAAAAGAACAAGTTGAAGCATTTCTCACTGAAATTGATAGCAACTCCCTGCTGGGATACAGAGGAAATGGACTCAACAAGATTCCCTACCTCTTCTTCTCTTATTGATCTGAACGACTGCACACGCTTTGCGCTGAGAAGTTCAAAAACACAAATCTTTCTCAGCTCTCTCCAGAAGTCTGCATAAGGAGCAAAGGCAATACTTGCTTGACCAAAGGACATAACTTGTACTGCCAAAACCAGAGGCCTCTGAGAAAATGTAAGCTCATGTGTCTTCAACACCTCTTGGGCTGCTTTGGAGGAGGAAATTATGACAGCCTCCAACTGGCCCAGCTTTAGGTGCATAATGGGACCATGTTTCTTGGCTAAGTCTCTCAATGTATGATGTGGTAGCGGACCAACCATATGATGCAAGCTTCCAATAACAGGCAGCTTCCATGGCCCTGGAGGAGGTGATTTGAGTCCTCTGGCTTTGAATCTCTTCCAAAACAGAACCAGGACACAGAGGAAGAGAGAAGTGAAAAGAGGAAAATAGGGTGTTTGGAGCATTAGGAACATAACTGGATCTAGAGAAGCCGTGTTTGGTTTGGTAGCGTGGAGAGTGGTGGTGTTAAATGGAAGCAACCAGAAACTAAAATTGAGAAAAACAGAGTGTGGAGAGTGGGATTTGAACCCACGCCCTTTCGGACCAGAACCTTAATCTGGCGCCTTAGACCAACTCGGCCATCTCCACTTGCGACGTCAGAGTTACACTCTCTTCATAATATCCTGTTCTTATTGGGTCAGAGTGGGATTTGTATTTACGTTATATATACTAGCTTCTCCACATGCGCTTCCGAGCATGCGAGAGGCTTTTTTTTATTTTTATTTTAAATTTGTTTTAGGATTAAAAAAAATAATGGGTTGTTGTATTCTATAAAAATAGGATTTATTATCTAATTTGTCTTTTAAATTTAAATTTTTTTAATATGAAAAAGTATGAATTTACCATATTATCCTATTTAATTAATAATTTCAATTCTTAATGTTTGCATTAACCAATGACATCTTTTTGATATTTTGAATGTTTCATCATTCTCTGCATTTTGTTTTATATATATAGATATATGGATAGGTAAGTATGTTCACCCTATTACATCTGAATTCGAACCTATTTCCCAAACATTATAAATATTTAAAATATTACCTTTGTTAAAAATTATAAATATATATATATATATCGATAAATTAATATATAATATTATGATACTGAGCTCCTGCTGCAACGTATTATGTATATGTAAGTTAAAACTACACCAACAAGGTCCCATGGTCTAGTGGTCAGGACATTGGACTCTGAATCCAGTAACCCGAGTTCAAATCTCGGTGGGACCTTTTTCTGTCCATTTTTTATGCATTTAATTTTTGCTCGCAGTATTAGGCTGCGGATAAAAAAATTTGTTTTTGTTTTGTGTTTTTTCACTGCTTTTAAGCGAAGTCTGTCCAGTAGTTCATTGATCCGTTACCTTCTTAAAAACAAATTTACTTCACACCCGAAATCCAGTCTACATATGATGAGCAATTACTATAACAAACAACAGCTACATAGAGAGCCTGGACAAAGTAGCAGAGTCTGAAAACAAACTACATTGCATCACTGATACATGTTCCAATCTACCTTGGCTTAAATAAAGGAGACACCCTCCTCCGAACAATCTCTTGAATCTGCTCTGAAGACAAAACTGATGCAGCACTGTCAAAATCGGCATTTTCCATCTGCTGACGCAGCTGTATGGACAATACCCCGCACCAATATGTTATTCAGAATATATTGGCTTTGTTGTTCTTTGAATTTCAAATTGGGATTGCATTCACCTTCCTAAACTCTATTCCAATTAGATAAAATAAAAACCAATCTTTCTGTCATTTAAGTTTTAAATTCTTAATCGAATGTGAGCTAAGAGATTATATACAGCCACATACCTTCTCAAGGATTGCAGATTGATCATCCAGGGGAAATTTCCGCATGTGCTTTAGCATCTCAAGTTGCTGAAAAATATTTACTTCGGGTGCTTTAGAAACATCCACATTTACCATTAAAGTTGTTATATTTGAACAGATATTACCTGCTCCTGTAATTTTTCTTGACTACGCATCCTTTCCGCAAATTCATCTGCTCCAAGCTCAGCTTCATCACAGGCCATCTCCTCCCTGACATTCCATAGATGAGTACCACTAACAGCAACATGCAATACAAATATCCGAACCTTTCTTGTTATCCTTCCCCACCTTTTAAAGGTAATATTTGTACTTTTAGCCCAATATCTAAGGCCAACATACATGAGCACAAGGCTTACAAGACTCTAGAATCCAATGAACTCAAGCACTCCTTGTGATTGTTACTTCAAAAGACAATAAGAAATAAACACCGAGCAGAATTTTTAACTTCAAAAATGGGCAGAAGAGGATTACCTTGCAATGAACTTATAAAAGCGGATCATCATATCCTGATCATTCTCATATTTTTCATTCACCTTTCCCAGGGATGATATGCCAAACCTTGGATCTGTAGTAAAGAAACCATTTGCTTTTAGTGAGGCTGTACCGTGATTGTGGTATAAACCTTACAGTGGCCACAGAATACCAGGTTTATCTGATGTATAAAAGATCAACACTGCTAAATCTTTTTCTCTCTCCCCTAACTAGAGCAAACTTCTCAACTGCAAGTATCAGGCACATACATTTACGGGAACTGGATCTCAACATAAAGAACGAATTGAGTCGATAAATGTAAAACTGCAGTATGATACACATCATGTGTTGGGATTTCCAGTTAAATAAAGATGAACACAATCAACTAACCAATCCCCATCTCCAGAAATATGTATAATTAGCATTTAAAGATAAAACTTACCAATCCCCATCTCCAGAAATATCTCTTCCTGGATGGCAGTGGTTATGGCAACAGCTTCCTGCTTATTGTAATCTTACTTATTAGACATCATCAGATAATGAAAAGAAAATTAAACAAGTAACAGTTAATTATCACATTCAAGCTGAATTTTCAATAGCCCATAATGTACTGTGTTGGATAAACTCTGGAATTAAATCAAATGACCTGTTTGTCCTCAACACCATCAGCGATTCTTTTCTTCACATCTGCAATTCCAAATAAAAGGATTTGAACCATCGCCAAGAAACACCACCGAGTAATGAAGAAAAGTAAAGATATATTGATATATTTTTTGTTTTTTGTTTTTTGCATTAAAAAAAAAGAAAAAAAAGAAAAGGGAAAATGCGTGCGTGCGATGATAAAAGAGGAAAACTGTACCGGGCTGAGAGGTGAGGAAAGAGAATCGATCGAAGAGATGAAGCAACTGTTCCCTTGACAGCATTTCTGAGGAGCTCTGCAACTGCGAACCCATTTGTGGAGACACCCTTCCTTGTCTCTGTTATTGATAAGGTCTATAAAGAGAGACCCTCCCTTTTTCCCAAGCCATGGCTTTTTTCTTCTAATTTAAATTCCCAATCAATTCAAATTTTGAAAAGACAAAAAATAAAAACCACCCACCAACCAACCCCCACAACACAAATGTATGCCAAAAATAAGAACAAACACATATCTATTTCTAGAGATAGTCAAATATTCCATTTATCATTTCTAGAGAACAAGAGATTGAACAAACATATCTATTATAAAATTAAATTTTCGAAAAAGATCTAAAAAAAATCTCAAATATTACACAAACACATCCCATCCCTCATCCCCTACATAGCTACATCAATCAGAATCAGCGGATTTTAGAAATCCGCATCCATCTTGAAAACATGCGAATCGACATTGCCGTTGATGCTATTCATCACTGAAGCCTTCTGGTACTCCCCAACCCTCTTCTCGAAAAAATTGGTCTTCCCCTGCAGGCTGATCAGCTCCATCCAATCGAACGGGTTCTGCACATTGTAAATCTTCCCGTACCCAAGCTCACCCAGCAGCCTATCCGCCACGAACTCGATGTACTGGCTCATCAGATCGCCGTTCATTCCCACCAGAGCGCACGGTAACGCTTCGCACACGAACTCTCTCTCTATCTCCACCGCATTTCGTATGATCGACTTCACTCGATCCTCGCTCAGCTTCTTCCTCAGCAGCGAGTACAGCAAGCACGCGAAGTCGCAGTGCAAACCCTCATCTCTCGAGATCAACTCGTTTGAGAACGTCAGTCCCGGCATTAACCCGCGCTTCTTTAGCCAAAATATCGCGCAAAAACTCCCCGAGAAGAATATCCCTTCCACGCAAGCAAAGGCCACGATCCGCTCCGCAAACGATTCTGAGCCGTCGATCCAGCGTAGGGCCCACTGGGCCTTCTTGGTGACGCAGGGAATGGTATCGATCGCGTGAAAAAGCCTGTTCTTCTCGTCCGAGTCCTTGATGTAGGTCTCCAGAAGGAGGCTGTACATCTCGGAGTGGATGTTCTCGATGGCGATCTGGAAGCCGTAGAAGGCGCGAGCCTCGGAGACCTGGACTTCCTTCATGAACCTTCCGGCGAGATTCTCCAAAACGATGCCGTCAGAGGCAGCGAAGAAGGCGAGCACGTGGGTGATGAAGTGCTTCTCGCCAGGGGTTAGAGTTTCCCAATGGCGTAGGTCCTGGCAGAGATCAACCTCCTCGGCGGTCCAGAAGGAAGCCTCGGCCTTCTTGTACATCTCCCAGATTTCCGGGTATTGGATCGGGAACATACAGAAGCGGTCCGGGTTCGGAGCAAGCAATGGCTCTTCTGGGAAGGCAGGCATTTTTATGACGAGGAAGATTTCAGAGATTCAGATGATCGATGAAATTTGATTGGAGGGTTTTTGAAGCTTTCGAAGATTGTGTATGGAGGTTTGATAATTTGGTGGGTTAGGGTTGCATATATATATACACACACATTACACATATAAAAGGAGGGAGGATTTTTGAATATTGAATTGAGGTTTTTGGGAGCGGGTGATTCAAATTTGTGAGAAGCTTGCGGGAGAATGAACCCAAACAAGGGCACTTTGGGGATTCCGGAAACTTGTACGAGTAGGCGCGCAATCGATTTCTATGGTCTGCGTTTGCGGCTACTGGATGAGGACGGTTTGGACCATATGGTGGAGAGGGGTGTAACGGTCATTTGAAGGACATGATCAATAAATTACCCTTGGATTTGGGGAGAATAACGAGTGAGGACAGTAATAAATGTGTGAAGTTTTTATTAGGTGAAGGGCTTTTCTGGTAAATAAAAATTGACGTTTTAAGGGAAGAAGCTTGCGAGGGAAGCCTTAGCTGGAATTTTAATTTTGGTTTCAAAGTTTTGATATTGTAGCGGGAGTCCTTTTGGCGCGAGTTTGGAAATGAACGGCTTAAAAAGATTTGGCTCGTAAATCTATACAATGAATGAATTTATTGATTGCCTCCAATTTTTACTATGTTTTGGTCCATATCAAGGAACATGGTCCCCCACAAAAATAAACGAAATGCAAACTGTAAACCCATTACCAATTAGACAAATTTACAATACTGTTAACTCTATTATTACATTTATAAAAAATAAAAATAAAAATCTTTGTTGCTTATATATGATAACCGATCTGATGAGAAAGGAAAAAAAAAAATTAAGATAACAAGTAATTAAATAAGTTGCAAATGTGCATTATGCTGGCCAATGCAGTGTGTCGGTCATTACACCCGAATTTGAACCCCCTTCTTTAAATATTAGAATAGTGTAGAATCCGCTCTCTGAACATTAGAATAGTGTAGAATGTCGATTGTCAACAACAAAAAAAGTACTTAAATAAGTTGCAAGTTCATAGTGGAGACAAGCTGTGAGGGTGGGAAGTTGGGAACCATGTGCAAGTTATTGCATAAAATCATGCACATTGTCTGTCTCTAAGACTATAATGTAATGTGTTTTATAAAACAAAGCAATGGATGCATATTAACAATATTATAATTTGTAACACAAATTAACATTGACATGATATTAATTGGTACAATCTGCAAGATGCGATTGTTTTAACAAAAACACACGTGACCAATTGTGCAACCCACACTTGGAAATTTACACGCACGCTTCCATATGGCCAATGCACGCAATTTGCAAGTGCGGAGCACACGCTTTATTCGCAATTGGGCTTCCAAGTTTAAGCCTAAGTTTGGAGCTGGACCTTCATTTGGTAATGTTTTCATTTTGGGCCATCGTCCTTTGCTTAGCCCAATGTGATTAAGAGGATTGGGCTTAATTAAGATTTACTAACAGGGAGCTTAGCTTAGTTGAGAGAGAGAGAGGGAGAGACCATGGCTCTAAGTTCTAACCACCTCAACGAACTAACAAACTCATTTCTTGATTTCCCGCCCTTACAACTCTCAGCCTTTCCAGAGTTCTTTTAAGTCTTCTGCTTCAAACCCACACTAAACAAACAGATTCTCTTTCTAATTCTCACATCGCTGAAACACAGAAGAAAGAAACAGTCCAAGAAACACATCGTCCCTTGAAACCAAGCTAAGCTAGTCTCCAATGGCGGCCTCGTCTCTCTTGATCCTTCTTATTACTCTCCTTTCACTCTCTGCTTCTCCGGCTCTTGCTACCTCCGTAACCCTGTTGAAAGCAGCCAAGGTCCTCTCCAACTCTGGCTTCCTTTCCATGGCGCTAAAACTTCAACTTGTCTCCCATTCCCTGGAATTCGAATCTCCCACCGCCACCATTTTCGCTCCTCCAGACCTCGCCTTCATTCGCTTGGGGCAACCCTCTCTCCCTCTTCTTCTCTACCACGTCTCCCCAAGAAGACTCTCCCTCAACACCCTCAAGTATCTTCGTCCCAACACCAAAATCCCAACTCTGCTCCCCAATTACACCTTGACCCTCACTGGGTCTCCAAATTTCCAAGGCTATTTGTCCATCAACAACCTCACGATTGATCCAAACGCTGTTTTGGATGATGGGTCGGTCGTCATTTACGGAATTGATGAGTTCTTCAATTCGTCGTTCTTGGTCGATGCCTCTTCAACACCGGCTCCGCCATTGATGAGCTCTGTTTCAGGTGCTCAATCACCAAGCCCTGGTCCCAGTGCTAATGAAGATACGGAGTTCGAATTGCGCCGGCCTGGTCCTGAATCTTTCCGTTTCGTTGCGGACTTGCTGAGGTCTAAAGGGTATTCAATCATGGCCGCATTTCTTGATGCGCAGCTGGTGTCGTTCAAAAGGAAGACCAGGCTGACAATCTTCGCTCCGGTCGATGAGGCCATTGAAGATTACCAGAGGAACACCACCGATTACTCGTTGATCTTCCGGCAGCACGTCGTTCCAAGAATGCTTTTGTGGCAAGATTTGGTGGGGCTTGATGATGGGACCATGCTGCCAACTTTTGAAGAAGGGTTCATGATCAATGTGATCAAGTTTGGTGAAGTTCCGGCGCTTAATGAAGTTGCAGTGGTGTCTGAAGATATGTATCAGAATCGGTGGCTTGTTGTGCATGGCCTCAATCGGTTGCTGACATCGCAGGAGCCTAAGCAACAAGACCCAGTTGATGATATTTACACTGATGCATATGTTGCTCAGAGCGTGCCTCATCATGATTATGGTGACTTTCACTGAGGCATCAATCATTGCCGTCCCTTTTCTTGATCACAACAAGTTGTCTCTGTTTTCACATCAAGATTTTGGGTAAATAGTTTTCACCTCAGAGGCCATGAAGAATTACCTTCTCTGATCGATGTATGTTTTCATTTCATAACCCACTTGTAATAGATGTAATGGTTAGATTTACGAGTGGTATTTTTACCTTGTAATCAGTAAACTTTTTTGTGGAAAGCAGGCATTGTGTACCTTTGAATCTTCAATCATATTTTGCTGTTTCAAATATGTGTGAATTCTTTCTGCTAATTGTCTACTGATATGAGAATCTTGGGCTACTGACTTAGCATAAAATTGTCAGCCAGATTGTAAAGAACATTGATGCACAGAAAATTGATTTAAAAGCTGATATGACTTTGGGAGAAGAGAAATTGTGAGCAGAAGTAAACTTAAGCAAAATGCCGAACCCCACCCCTTACAATTTTCATACTAGTGTTTAGTTCTAGAAGTAGAGGCTTGGGAAGTTTGCAGTCAAGGTTCACCAGATAAAGGTTGCATCCGAGAACAGTAGCTAGTGCTAGCTTCCTCAAAAATTGAGTCACCTGAAAAACTTGCCCTTGCCAACTCCCTTAGTTTCTTCAGATCACTTTTAGACTCTAGTTTAAGTCCCTTTTGCCGTTTTGCTTCCGCTGCTCTCTGCGTACTGACAGTTGCCTCCACGTTAGTGGAACTTGTCATTTGAAGAACATCAAGGCCAGGGGATCCAGGACTGATCACAGGGACTACAGTTGCAGTCATAGCACTAATTGGGTCAGTGCGTGGTGCTCTCGTATCTCTTCTTTCAAAGTTTGTGTCTGGACTTAAAGGAAGGACTGGAGCTAGCCCTGTTTTTGGTTGGGAGGATGCAGGTATGATTCTGGACCATTGCTTCCTTGGAAGGAATGGGAGGACAAGGCCCTTAGCAGCAAACTTTAATCCAAGCTTGAATGAATTCTTTTGAGGCTGTGAGAGTCTTAATAGGGATCTCATCAGAGCATGCCACTCATTTATCATTTGGGTGACAAAGGTTAGGAAGAGGAGAGTTAGCATTACAAATCCTAGATTTCTTGCTTTGACAGGATTTGAGCCGTTAATGCTGATAAGTAGAGCAAATATGCCCACCTCACACAGTAGTGAAACACTTTCTGCCATATGGACTCCTCTCTTGATGTATGGTTTCAGAGTAAATAGATACATGAACTGTACCAGCGTAATGGCCAGTGCAAAGAGGCTTTGGCTTGATTTCCTCGATGAGTAAGCTCCAGATATGATCCCCAAGCAGACCCGTCTCGAAAGATCAACAATAATGTAGGAAGATCTAGCACACCCCAAGAGCCTTTTGGACAACGGGGTCTTAATTTCTTCAGTGCTGTCTTCCAAGCTGACTGGTCGCATTCTCCCAATACCACTATGGCCACTTCCAGTCCATTTGGATATGCTGTTTGGTTCATTTTGATCAACAAAGATGAATAATGGAGGACCCTGAAAACTTTCAAAGAGAATTCCAAATCGTAAAAGGAAAGACGAAGGTAGGCCTTCCTTATAAAACCACTTTCCGGCACTAGGTCTCCCTGTCAAAAAATACCAAAGCTTTTCAGTCCATGGTTCTTTTCTACCTACATGCTTAACTTCCTTGTACTGAACAAAACTGCCATAGAAGATTGCAATTATTTGAAAAAGGCACACAGATAAAATAAGAGCTGCAGGGATAGCCAGCAATAAAGCCCCAGTAATGATTCCCCCAGTTGTACCTCCTGTAAATTAGAGTAGCTTTGAGTTCAAAAACATCGTCGAGTGGCAAACAAAACAATTGGATTTAGAAAGAACAAAATTGGCCCCTCACCTTTCATAACAAATGTTGAGGACTGAGTGATACATGGTAGCATGACAATCAGAAGAAAGAGCTCGAATCTGGGCACTGAGAGTATACCACGAGCTGGTGGACCTAATCTCCATCTTAGGAAAAGTAATATCAACACATGGGTTATGACTAAACTGCCTCCTCCAATACCAAGCCAAAACAAGTTCATCTGTAAATCTTCCCACCTGTTAAAAGTAAGTTAGGTATGATAACATTAGGTTAGCCCCTCTATTCCTGTCACTTTTCGAGTTGTCTGATTTTAATGTAAAAGCACTAAGATAAAGGTAATTCTGGAGCTACCCTTTGTAATTCCCCATTCCCTTGATGACATTGCTAGCAGACAATGGCTCTCCTCTCTGTAAGACAAAAGATTAGCACTAGATTGGTTTTCATGGATGAGGAAAATAAGCATTGAATGCTTAGATAATGGACACTCACCAAGAAATAAGTGAAGTATTCGTTGGAATGAAGAGGTAGTCCATAAGGAGTCATACGCATGCTATGCTGCCCATGAAGCCAACCAGGATTGGGGTCCACCTCAATTGGCACTGGTACTTCATGCTGCATATAAGAAGAGTTGGAGAGATAGAAGTCAACTCCGATTCTAGTCCCTTCATGTGGAGATCCTCGTACTGAAGAGATACTGAGTTTCCCCTCAAGCTTCTCTTGGCAGGGCCAAACTAAAGTGCTATCCTTTTTCCATGGAAGTTTTTGACGAGGTATGATCCACCTAAGACCTTTTGTTGTCTCTAAATATTCAATTGGTTGATTAACTGAGAGCCAGTCTGAGAGAACAAAAACTTGAAGGTGTCCAACCATCCCCTATGTTAAAAATAAACAGACATTTTAGTTGAATCTCAATAACTAAAAAGGAGATGCGCAACGATGGAATGAAAGATGGGATATAGCAAAAGCTATCCACTTGGATATTGTATCTACTAAACAATTTAAATCTCACATGTAGGTTCATTGAGTCAGACGCAACAATGTTTGAACTCTCAGAAGCAACGGTGCCCACTGCTCCAAGATTTGCAGTTGAAATTGAAAGAATGGCAGCTGCTAGCGAAGTCGCTAACATACCCACAGTAACAAAAGAGTGCAGTGCGATTGATATTGCAGGGGTTGAGTCTGCACAGAGAAACAGCCGTGTGAATCTGTGTGTGAGTGTAATAATATACATCTTGTCAAGCACAGAAGAAGCCATGTGAATCCGTGTGTGTTTTCTAATAATATATCTTCTTCTCCAAGTCTCTGACAAGTATTAAGTTCCACTGATTTATTAAATAAGATCCTGTAGTGAGAATCGGCTATAACCATTAACTTTCTTGCCTATCTTCCTATCTTGCAAGTTTCAAATCTGGCTAGAGAGTAAAATTTAATGTATCATCCCCAAAAATTCCAAGCAGAAAGGCAATGCGAAGAATGAATAGATATAAAGAGTACCGAATAGAAGGAAGAAATGATTCATACAGTGTTTCACTTCAAGTTGGTTAGATGCCATGTTAAGATTTCCTGATATATCATATACCTTCCCTGAAGGGACGGCAACTGACACCGTATGCTCAGTGACTGCCAAAACATTCAATGAGTACAGAGCTCTTGAAAGTTCCCTAAACCTACAAGAAGCAAAATAGAAAATGTTGACATTCTTTCAAGTGCATGAAGCGAGCTACGACTATGAATGAACATTGCTACTGGTATTTCAAGAATCACCATATACACCTGCCTTGTTATTCTACCGCCGACCACTTGTACCATGGAGGCCTGAAAGCCAAAGACCGGTTTTGTAAACTCAACAATCACATTGATATCGCGATCCTTAGTAACATTTGGAGAACTAGTGCTCAGCCCTACACTAGTCTCCATGGAATCTGAGAGAAAAGCAATTCAATTAGTTCCATAAAGCTACCGAAAAAAAAACTAGCAGAACTAACTCTGGAGCATATTAGCGGTGGAATACATACCATAAAGAAACGTAAATGAGGGAATCGGTGAATCTTGATGATTTCAGTTCTAGATATATTCCTGAGCTACAGTAGGAAAAAAAAACTAAACATAAATGTACAATGCTAACACAAACACACACACAATAATTAGCTACAATAATTTGATAGATAACAATGCTAATATGGAAATTGCTTCCAGAAAAAACCCTGCCACTGCATTATTAGTACTAATGAAAGCTGCAGTTGCTTACCTGGAATTTAAATCGGCGGTTTCCTTGATTTCTGCCATGAATGGGTACTAAGTTACCCGAATTCACAACCAATGCATTCGGAATCTGCTCTGTTGTGTTTATAATGGGAATGCTGAAGTCCAAAAATATGTTTAAGTCCTCCATTTTGTTAGTTGCAAGGATAGTTCGAGGGACCCCATTGATCATCAACTCGTAGGCTGGAACAGGGGTCCACAAATCTGCAAGAACTGGTCTTCTATCTAGGGCATTCATAAGAAATGTGAACAATCTGTAAGATTCGGAGAGTCAAAAGGACATTTTGTTTAAAAACATAAGTGAAGTACAAATGTGACTTATGTCTTACCAAAGTGAATGATTATAGTGGAACCATTTGTCCTTGTAAAGCTGTTTCCTGCCTGATCTGTACAAAAATCATCTGCCATTCTGATTACGACACGCCCGTACATACTTGCCAGAGAGAGAACCACATCAAGGCTATAACTGATGCTAGGTTTAATCATGCGTAAGGAAGATGGCTGTACACGGCCAGGACCATCTACTATTACCTACCCAAAAAAAAAAAAGCATGCAATTTACCCTTATGCATCGTTTTCCATGGTATACTGTGAACGTTGTTGAATAACATCATGCATGGGTAAAAACATAAGCATAGAAATCCACTTACGTCACAGTTTGATGAGTTGAGGCATCTGAAGCCACCTTTCCCTGTGCAAGCTTCATTAAACATGATATCAATGGCTAATTTTTCAGCACTTGTGTAATTCTTTTCGCTAAAAATTGTTGCAGTTGGTGGTATTGTATCTATCAGATAGATGAAAAAAAACAGAGTAAAATCCCCTGTTCAGAATTTTAGAAAAAGAAATAAAGTAAATGTAAAAAACTTTACAACGACGAAAGAAAGTCACTAACCAATAAACCAAGAATAAGCTGATGAGTTTCTATCTCCATCCCAAGTTGTGACGTTGAGAAGAAATATGTGATCACGGTTGACGGTCAGGTTTTTGAATACCATGACCTTAGCTGGACATGGACTCAAAGTTTGGCCATCAAGCTGTTCATATTAAACAGATTTAGTCACTGTCTCCTACTTAAGAAAATGAGCTTATAAAAACGCAGCGGTTAAAAAAAGAACAGGACGTACCTGACAGTGAACGGAACAAGTATTTTTGTTGCATGCATTGGAGCCATTCAGCGTCAAAACTGAGTAGCGGAAAACTGCAGAAGAATACCGGGACCGTGCCGGCGGAGCTCTATCAAAACGAATGAGGACCGTTGACTCGGCTGAGTTTTGTACATTCACCATAACAGTAACCAGAACAAAAGCATATTGAAGAAACTTGAACAAACCCATTTCAGGGACGGCCATGTAAATCGCATTTAAGCTCAAATCTTGAAGGAGGAAAACAGATAAAAGAAGGCTGGACTGGGAGGCCAAAGCGAGCAGTGGTTATTTATTGCAGGGCAAATTAAATGTTGAGTGTTCTGTTTATTACGGCTTTAAATTGAAGACCACGTATAGAAAAGGGCAGTGCAACCACCATAGCCCTTGTTCACGACAGTCTCATAACTGCTTCTTTAAAGAAGTTCACAAACATCATTTACTTCCACCCACCAACCCATTGGCGTCTGTTTTTTTGGTACTTGTAGTTGTACCACATTAAAAATGTTAAAACCAAATTGAGATATATTGTTTAGCTCGTCCCGGTTTCTAATGAACATGGTACGCAAATAGTCAATTCAGCCCACTATTCAATTAATTGGGGTTGAACCAAATTATTATCAGTGTAGTTTGCTCTGTACTTACAAATCGGATTGACCAAAGGAAAGCTAGTGCTGACACATGGAAGCACTGTTAGCTCTCCTTTGGGTCTCACACACTGTACTGTTCAATATTCTACTCAACCACTTCTTTACAAGGCTGTACAGAAGATACAGGGCAGGACCGCTGCAAAAACCAGTGAGACATTCAACGTATCCAAACCCTGGTTCTCCACAGGATTTATCAAGATGAATGATTTATCGTTGTACTAATCTTCTGCAACCATCCAGTGTAATTTGGGTCCCTGGATTTTAGAAGTGATAAAGATAAATAAACTAGATATCAGTGGCTATTATCACTGGTTCAGAGGCCCACAAAATATTGCAAAATCAAGATTAGGAAATAAGTGTAACCGATGGCCATAGGGAAAGCCCAAAATCATTAGGTTCCAGGAGTGCCAGGCTCATATTGTTATGAGAAAGTATTGAAATGGATGACCCATTACCTTTCCTTGTCGTATGAGTTTGGGAGGGATCACTGTCATGTCAACTACGGTTGATGGATCAGCCACTCTTACCCCGCCATCAACGACAAAATCAAGGCCCTATAATGAATTTGAACACACAATTTAAGGGAGAGCTCAATTTCAGAAAACAAGCTAAACAGCCTTCACGTGCCAAACCAATACCTCAGGTCCATATATATCAGCTATAACGACAGGATCTAACAACCACTCATTCTCCTTTGGGCACTTGACACTGCCAACAGGGAAACTTTCAGTACAACACCATAATAAATTGGATTGTAACAGAAGAATCAGCTCATATAGATTGCTTAAAACTCCATTATGCCAAGAGCTTCTCATCTTCCTACAGTCCTTCACGTCATTAATGAAGAGAAGGTATACCAATGTATACAAAATAAAATCTGAGTTACCTTGTGGATATCAATGGTGAACCCATCTTCTCCAGTATTGCTTGACATATGGGTTCATCAGGCATACGAACGCCGACATTTTTCCTTAAAGTGTATTTGGCATCTGCCGTCCCGTACCTTATACAATGTTTAGGCAGTTCTTTGGTTGCAGTTAAGATGAAAGTATACTGTTACACAAAAAGTGCTGTTATAGGCCAAATTTTAGGAATCTAGAGGACCATCATAAGTATTATGTGCTTGCTATACAATGAAACATTGTCTACTGGTGGTAGTGTTTAGTTGTAACTTGTAGTCAATGCTATAGATGACTAGGTTTAAAAAATAAAACAAAAAAGTGTTCCTATAGGCAAATAATAATAGTAAGAGAAGCAAAGAAGAAACTTACAGGGCCAGGTAAGCAATGCTTAACAGCACGGAATAAATTTGCATGACCTTGGCCATCGCCACGAGGGAACCCTGTTGTAAACGTATCAATGTCGTGGAAGGAGTGGCATAAGATGCTAAGGGGCTGCACCAGTAAGTCAAGTCACACAGACAGTCATGTCAAATATATATATATATATATATATATATCATAATGAAAATTGGAAGAAAACCCAATAATCACAAAATTATCTAGTGATTAACAACAGAGTTAATGAAGCAATGATATTGAAGTGATCATGAGTAAAGGGATTCCGTGATGCTTGCCTTTTGAGGATCAACGTTCTTGATTCTGCAATGAAAGAAAGAAACTTTACCAGTAAATAAATATTTTCAAATGAGTAGGAACAACGTAGACAAGGAAAGAAGAGGATCTTACCTACGAAGGCGTTCAATGGCTGAGTGATTTCTGAGATCACAAACTATTGCATACCTACAACAATATTGCAATTACAATTCAAATTCAAATTCAAATGAGCAAGAAAGATTGTTTTGTTGTGCTGTGACTTACACAGTGTCAGTAGGAATAACACCAACACCGCCCTGTTTCAAAAGATGAACAACTGGTTCCAATTTCCAGCTGTCCGCTCCTGATAGTGATGGATCAACTTCAACGTAAAGCAGCTCATCCTCCTGATATTATCAGTCAATCAATTTCATAAGCTTCGGATGCTCAAACGCCCAATTTTTGCTTAATTTACATTTGAATTTAAACACAGAGAGAGAGGACCTTGGTGAAGCGAGGAGTGGCGTATTTGAGACGCTTGGGGCTCCGCTTGACAGCGAGAGCTAACACTTGGAAACACCGGCGTTTTGGAGCGTCACAGCATACACGGCGGCTTGCATTTGAAATTGAATGAAGGCCAAGAGTTCCAGGCGCTGCTGCCAAAGACCGCGAAAAGCTGGAAAAAGCTAAGTCGCCACTGTAAACTTTCGTCTGAATACTACAGTAAGCCATTATCTCGAAGATTTGGAGGTACAAAAGTACAAAAATTTGAAGATGCAAAATTACAAAGAGCCTTAATTAACATTGCTTTTCGGAGTTTCTCGCACCAATCTTAACAGACATCAGCAGCCATACAGAAACTTCCGGGTTCTCCGGGCGAAACGGCGCCGTATATAGGAGATGCAGCACGTGGACATTCGGAGACGGTACGCCCCAATGCCTCACAGGCTCATTGGCCCATAGCTTCTAGGGCCGAATTCTGGGGCTTTTTAGTTTAGGATCTTTACCCGTT